TGTAGTCTTTATCTATCTATCTATCTATCTATATATATATATATATATATATATATATATATATATATATATATATATATATATATATATATATAAATATATATATATATATATATATAAATTCTTCTTCATGCAGAGCGAGACTACCTGGGGATCACGTCAGAATATTCTCATCTGTTTTCTCGTATCCGAGTCTAAATAAAAGACTAAATACATCTTACTGATTTTCTTTGTGCCTAGTCCTTGCAAACTTTTAGTGGAGACGCTACAAAGTCTTACCTCTCGACTATGGCAAGTATCATAATTTCTTTGAATAACATAATCTATCATAGAGAGACTCCACTACTCATTTAATCAAATACTGTCTATTCTTGTCTCTAAGATGAATAAAAAAAAATATTACTATTCATTTATTGATTGCAGTGAATTTGATCTATCACACTCTGATCAAATTTTACACTACATTAAATGTAATGGCGGTCTGTCTTTCTCACTCTTAAGAAACATCGATAATGGATAATGGAACTCGGGAATACGTAGAATTTTCTAAGTGTTTTTTTTTTTTAATATTATTATATCAATACTCGTTTTATACCATCTCATTATTGTTGCTTTTTAGTTGAAGAATTTTCACTATTATTTTTATTATTACTTTTATTCCATTTTACTATTTCTGTTTTTGGATTTAGACATTTCACTATTATTTTTTCATTATTAGTTTTATTCCATCTTATAATTGCTTCCTTTTAAAAAGAGCAAAAGTCATAAGTGGCGACCCAGAGACATTAGATAAGGAATTGGTCAGTATAAGTAGTACCCTACAACGTAACAACTACCCTGGGTTCATGGCAGCAGCCCCAGTAAAGTGAGATAGGCGGATACAAGAGGAGGACAACAACACTCAGAAAACAGTCTGCCTGCCTTATGTGAAGGGGTTATCAGAGAAAATACAAAGGATCTTCGGTCCATATAACATCAGGACAACCTTCAAAAACTTGATGACACTTCTCAGATATCTCTCCCGAGTAAGACGCCCCCCATAGAGGAGAACATGACTAAAGACTGTGTGTACGCTATCCCATGCAGCTGCGGAAAGAAATATAAAGGGGAGACAGGCCGCTTCCTTAAGGTAAGGCTTCAAGAACACCAGAAAGCTGTAACAGGAGAGGAAGTGGAAAAATCAGGCATGGCTGACCACATATGGAGAGAGAAGGGAGATCACCGCCCTCTGTGGGATCAGGTTGAGATCATAGACAAAGAACACCATTGGAAAATTCGTAAAATTAAGGAATCAGCACATATGCTTGGCCACAAAAATCTCCTGAGACGACCAAGCATAGAAATAAATACAATATGGGAACCAGTAATAAGGAGTGCCAGATAAAAGCAATAACAACAAAAAGTTGCAATATGAGCTCTGATAACAGCAAAAAACTAAAATGCAATATGAGCACTGGTAAAATGGTTGCTGAAGACATTAGGTTTATAATACCAAGAAATTCATACACAGACGGTACAGTGGATAAAGGTGTTGGTTAGGAGTGACAGGACCGAAAGAGTGTGAGTTCAATACACGGTTAAGGCAGTGGAGAACTTTCAAGATAACTGACATCCATTAGACATGACACATGGAACTAGAACAGTCTACCCCAGTGAGCGAAATAAAGGGTTCAGTTCGACGCAGTGTACTACGGCCGAAACGTGGTAATAAATATGATGAGAATAAAGTAAATAATGTAGATAATACCTCATCAGATACTGAAGGGTCGAAACGTTGTGATAAATATGGCGACAAAGATGAGGACAATAGTCCGAATAATGTAAATAATGTACATAATACCTCGTCTCAGAAATATAGACAGGTACTGAAAGGCCGAAACGTTGTAGTAAATATGTCGACAAAGATGAGGACAATAGTCCGAATAATGTAAATAGTGTACATAATATCTCATCTCAGAAATATAGACAGATACTGAAAGGTCGAAACGTTGTAATAAATATGGCGACAAAGATGAGGACAATAATCCGAATAATGTAAATAATGTACATAATACCTCATCTCAGAAATATAGACAGATACTGAAAGGCCGAAACGTTGTAATAAATATGGCGACAAAGATGAGGACAATAGTCCGAATAATGTAAATAATGTACGTAATACCTCATCTCAGAAATATAGACAGATACTGAAAGCTCGAAACGTTGTAATAAATATGGTGATAAAGATGAGGACAATAGTCCGAATAATGTAAATAATGTACATAATACCTCATCTCAGAAATATAGACAGATACTGAAAGGCCGAAACGTTGTAATAAATATGGTGACAAAGATGAGGACAATAGTCCGAATAATGTAAATAATGTACATAATACCTCATCTCAGAAATATAGACAGATACTGAAAGGCCGAAACGTTGTAATAAATATGGCGACAAAGATGAGGACAATAGTCCGAATAATGTAAATAATGTACATAATACACCTCATCTGAGAAATATAGACAGATACTGAAAGGCCAAAACGTTGTAATAAATATGGCGACAAAGATGAGGACAATAGTCCGAATAATGTAAATAATGTACATAATACTCATCTCAGAAATATAGACAGATACTGAAAGGCCGAAACGTTGTAATAAATATGGTGACAAAGATGAGGACAATAGTCCGAATAATGTAAATAATGTACATAATACCTCATCTCAGAAATATAGACAGATACTGAAAGGCCGAAACGTTGTGATAAATATGGCAACAAAGATGAGGACAATAGTCCGAATATTGTAAATAGTGTACATAATACCTCATCTCAGAAATATAGACAGATACTGAAAGGCCGAAACGTTGTAATAAATATGGTGACAAAGATGAGGACAATAGTCCGAATAATGTAAATAATGTACATAATACCTCATCTCAGAAATATAGACAGATACTGAAAGTTCGAAACGTTGTAATAAATATCTTGATAAAGATGAGGACAATAGTCCGAATAATGTAAATAATGTACATAATACCTCATCTCAGAAATATAGACAGATGCTTCTTTTTAGATGAATATTTTTCACTATTTCTTTTATTATATACTTTTATTCCATGTTATTGTTGTTGCTTTTTAGATTTAGCCTTTTGACTATAATTTCTTATTACTTTTCTTGTATTTCATTATTGTTGATTCGATGAACCTCTTTAACTATCATTTTTTATTATCTCTATACATGTATCTTTTCATCATGGATAAATATTTCAATGCACATCCAGACGGAAAACCTGTGGGAAACTCCCAAGTGGTTGGCTGTCAACTTCGACAACTAGTGCAGGGAATCCATCCCCAAATTTACGCACTGTTTTCCTGTGTATCTTTTCGATATCGCCAACAATATAGGAGTTCATTACGTCTGCCCCAGAACAAATCTTACGTGTACTAAGCCCCAAGCATGATCCCTGCGGAGGTGACATTAGTCTCACTACTAAAAGATTGATTAAAGAATATGAAGAGGCAGTAAAT